CCACGACCAAGGATCACCAGCGAGTTAACAACCAACCAGCCGGGTCCGTTGTACTCCCAGGGTTAAACCAGGCCCCAGCAATGGACAAACACCTCCTCCTCCTCCTCTCTGTAGGCACCAGGCTATGAAAACATAGGAAAACTGGCCTCTCGGAACACACTACCTGTTCTGTCCACCGGCAGCAGCCCCTGCCGAAGCCCAGAGCCTGATCTACAGTTCACTCAGCCGCTGGCAGGGTCCTCCAACTCTGGAGGGTGCCCTCCGTGTTCTGGGCGGTGTTGCAGTGGCTCATAACCTTTGCAGCCTCCCCAGTCCTATCTCTCTCCAGCTGCAAATGCGTCAGCAGGGGCTTCCTCCAGAGCGGGCAGGAGGGGTGGGGCTCCCAGGAACTGGTTCTTGATTAAATATAAACCCATACGATAATTAGCAAACAAGCCCACTTCTAAGACAAACAAATAGCCGAATTGGGCTCCGTCAGCCCCACCCTGGACTCCTCCCTCCCCACCTTGCAGCTATGAGAAGTGGGGGAGGGGAGAAAGCTTTCTAGAGGCCAAGGGGGTGGGTTTCTCAAAGGCACCAGGTAGCATCCAAGTGGCCTGGACAAAGAAGAGCACCGTCACTAAGCACGTCTCCCTCCCAGGCACAACACTGGGAGCTTTATTTGCGGTCTTGTTGTCTCCTACGGGCGGGCGTCACCGCCATCCAGATCTTCTTACAGGCCAAGAAGCTGAGAGGCTGAGTGGTCCCTCCTGAGCTGGGGAGGGCTTCACACCTCCCCAATGCGTGCCCTCTAGCTAGTCCCAGTGAGCAAGGAGGGGCAAACAAACATCCAGAGACTACTGGGGTCAAGCCCAGTCTGGATTGCACCAACTTGGTTCTGTAAACTCAGACCAGCTGCAGCCTTAGTTTTGCTTTAAGGGGTGGGGGGAGGGGGGAGGCAAGGCACTACCTGCTCGGCAGGGGCCAAATGACCAATGTTGAGGACTGGCTGAACTCTTTCAAAGTCCACCTACAGGGCAAGGCACTGTAAAGGACCGGGGCCATACTAATATTTCTCATATGTCCCCTCAAGGCCCTGGACACTGAGATGTGGATCAGTAGGCTCCCAAAGGACAAGGTGAGGCTCTGGAGCACGCTGAGACACCCCCACCAGAGAGCCATCCCACAGCCAAGAAGCGGGGAGGAAACCGGGTGATTCAGACAGGCCAGCTCTCACTCTCCTCCAGGGACTCGCAAAGCCCCGTCCAGCCTCTTCTCCTCATTTTAAACGTGGGTTGGAAATCACGCCCAGCCACCCAGGAGGCTGAGGACAGCTAGGAGTCAATTCCTCCCAGGAGGGGCCAGGCTGGTAGCCCAGCCTGGCCCTCCCCGCCCCTCATTCAGGCTGCTCGGCACTCCGAGTACTTGGAGAAGCCCTCTGTTTCCAGGAGATGAGGATGGCAGGAGCTGAATGTCCCTCCCACCCCCAACTTCTCCTTCAGGCTCTTTACCAAGAAGGCCAAAAAAGCTTGCCTCCCCCAACACATCAGTGGGCTCTCAGGACGGGAAGACCCTGGAAGGCCTTGGCCCAGCTTCCTCCCTCATTTTAGAGGCGGGGCCCACCGAGATGCAGGGACAGGGCACATCACTCAAGGTCACCCAGCAATTCAGCAGTCGGACCTGAGGTATCTACCTTCAACCCAGCCAATTTCCTGATCTGGAATGTTCTCAGAGGGTGCACAAAGCAGAAACCCTGTGTTATCAGACAGACCTTGTTCAGACCTTGGCAAACCACTACATTCCTCAAGCATCTGTGTCCTGCGAAATGGAGATAATCACACCTGCCTCCCAGAACACCAGGAGGCTTTCTTATCAGTAATAAATAACCATGGTGCACCTCTTAGAATAAAGTTACATGCCTGAGTATTACTTCTTCATTCATGCACACATTTCCTGAGTTACTAAGTATAAGACGGGTATTTCACTAGAAAGGAATAGAGCGGAGTTCCTGCTTTGGGTGTGTGTGGTGTGGCGGGGCGGGGGGGGGCAGGAAGTGGGGGCAACTCAGAATGTGGTGCGGTGTATCATTCCCACACCAAACATGACTTTGTTCAAGGGAGGAAAAGCCTCAGCCGTCTTCATGGTTTCCCACGCCCTTTTCAAAGGTACCGAACCATGAATAGAATACTGAGCGGGGAAGGCTCTGGAGGCCCATCAGTTCAAATCCCACTTTACAGGTGGGGGATGTCAACCTAGAGAGCGAAAGGGACCGAACCTCATGGAGCCCCCCCACCCCAAGCCATGGCCCAAATATTCTCTCAGGTGCTTGGCAGCTCTCAGAGCTTCTAAGAATTTCAAAGAGCTCTCATTGGCCACTCAAGAGTTCTAGACCCCCGGAGCTCCCCCCCCCCCCGCCCTGAACCACACTACTGTGCAATCAAGGAGAGAATTCTTAAGGAGCCCGGAAGCGTCTCTAAGTTAAAGTACCCTGATGGGCTGGGGACAATTCCCCACGACTGGGCCTGGTGCCACAGCACCACCTGGGGTGGGGATGGTGGGCCAGTCTCCCAAAACAAGGCTGCCTTTAATTGCCCAGGGAGGGAGCAGCAGGAAGGCGGTTCAGGGAAATGGTCCCAGCTGGACAGGAAGAACTGGTTTAGGGTGGCAAGCCCCGGCCAGATGGAGAGGAGGCTGGTGCCCAGCCCAGGTTCCCTTCCCAAAACTTGTGGCACCTAGGGGGCAGGGGGCACCACCTAAAGGGAGGGCAGGCCTTGGGTTTAAACCTAAAATTTGGGGAGGGCCCCAATAGAATCATTGGAGGGGCTACTGGACAGATTCTGACGGCCTGCACGCTCTCGGCTGCCTAGCGTGGTGCCTCAGCTCCTGCATCCACGGAGTGGGCGATCCCCACAGGCTTTCTGTGGACGGCTTCCCACGCACCCAGCCTGGCGCAGGGAAATCATAACTGCTCTCAGCAGATCCCTTCTCCCCGGCCTTGTTTTCTCCACCAGCCACAAAGGGCCCGCTAGGTCACGTCTGTGTCTGGTCTCATCCAACCGTGACTGAGGTCTGATTTTTCCGGCCACAACGTTAGGAGGAAAGGGGGTGGCAGGGCCACAAGGGGAAGCCCCATGACCCAATTAGGGGCGGAAGGTCTGTGACATTAGCCAGGAAGGGGAGCACAAAGGTCAGGGTGAAAGAGGAGGCCACCCTCTCAGGAAGCAGCTGCTCGGGGCTGACTTCTGCAGCTGATGGGTCACCACACGTGGGGCTGACAGCCCTCCCCCAAAACTCATCCTTCAGGGACACAGCTGTCCTCTCCTCACTCAAGCCCTTGCAGGCTCAGCAGTCCCTGAGCTGACACTGGTCCGTGAGTGCCCAAGGGTGGACCTCACAGCCTCCAGGGACTTTCCTCTCCGGTTGCCCTGACCAGTGACACCCGACTCAGCATTCCTTTGGATGCCTCCCTGACCACATCCCTTGGGGCCTGGTGAGGGCCACTGCACCAGGGAACAGCGGGCTTGGGTTAGAGTCCTGGCTCAGCCACCAACCTTTCAGCAGGATTACCCTTAGTTTGGAGAAGTCATGCCCTTCCACCTCAGAGTTCCTTGGGGCTGGCCAGCCCCAAATCTTTAGGCTCTACAGGAGTCTTGAGTCATCCGAGGACAGGACTCAGAGTGGCATCAGTGGACAAGTTAAGATGAGAGCAGGGGGCGGCTGGGAAGCCTGGCTGCCTACATGGGAATCTGCTTGGCCCCCAGTTTGCCATGTGAGTGTAGGCAAACCAGTTGGCCTCTGTAGACTCAGATGAAGAACAGTAAACCAGGTTGTTGTCAGGATTTAGCTAGGAATCGCCATTAGGAAGCTGTCAGAACGCTGGGGGAGGGGCATGCACACCCCAACCGGTATCGCCACTGCCCATCAGCAATTGTGCAGACGGTTATGGCTCAGGATCTTACTCATTCTCCATCCAAGGCTTGTCAGGCAGAACAACTGTCCCCCAAGTCAGCCCAGAGAAATAGGAACCCCGTGCAGAAACTGAAAAGAGGGACTCACTCCTTCCCATTCCCCTCAAAAGGGACTCACGGGCTGGAAAGGGGCACAAACCCGGCCCTTGGGGCTGCAGCCTCTCCCATCTTCGCAGAGGAGGCTGCCTCCGTCCTCCCCAGCCGGCTGCTGGGATGAAAGGAGCTTCAGGGGGCCAGGGTTGTGCAAGCGACAGGGCCCAGTGGGCACTGAGGCCTTCTCTGCCTCCTTCACCTCGCTCTCACCCAGCGCGGGTGCTTCGATTTTCCAGTCTGCGCTGAGCCGGAGAGAACGGGCTTCTTACGGAAAGGGTGGCCCGGGAGCGCTCCTCCATCCCTCCAGTCCTCGGTCTCGACTTTGGAGGTGCAGACCCTAACGAAGCACTGGCCACCCCCCGCCCCACTCCCTCGCACCCTCGGTGCAGACGGGGACTTCGAGACTCGGCAGGGGCGGGGCCTTGCCCTGAGTCACAAGCCAGCTGCACCGAGGAGGCCAGAAGCGAGACCAGGGCTCCGTTCTCCGCTCCCCGGTGTGTGCAACCAGGCCCAGCAGAACCCCAACCTCCTCCCCCTCCCCAGCACTCGCCGCCCCCGTCACCCCCAGGCATCTGGGGTTCTGGAGCTGCCGGCTCCGGGCGCCCTGTCGGCGAGGAGGAGGGGGGTTCGGGGCTCCGAGCCGGTACCAGGATCCCCAGGGAGGTGCGGGGGGGTGAGGGGAAGGTGACACCGGCTTAGTCACGTCCGAGCCTGGAGCCCGCGTCAGGGCTGAGGCCAAGGGGAGGCGGGAAGAGCAACAGGCTGGGGCGCGAGGCGAGCGCCGCAGCCACCCGCTCCCCCCGGGCGCCCAGGAGCCAAGTTTCCGGCAAAGTTTCCCGGCCCCGGGTGTCTCCTCGGGGGCGGGTGGCGCAGCCCCCGGGTCACCCCGTATCCCAGGCTCCCAGGAACAAAGAAGGCGCTGGTCTGCGCCCCCCGGCCCAGGGACCTCCGAGCACCTACCGACTCCGCGGCAGCGGCGGGGGCGCCCACGAGGAGCAGCAGCAGCAGCGCGAGGAGGCGGGCGGGGGCCATGGTGTCGCGGTCGCGAAAGGGCGCGCGGGCTGGTGGCCGCCGTCCGCGGTCCGCCCTCCTTATAGGCGGCGGCCGGCCCCGCCCCGCCCCGCCCCCGCCGCCCGCACCCCGGCCCCCCTCCCCCAGGAATTCCCCGCGAGAGCCGGGCCTCCGGGGCGCCGAGCCCGCCCGCAGAGGTGGAAACCCCGCGTGACCCGCCCGGGGCGCATCCGCCCCGAGCCACTGACCCCGGGAGCCCCGACCCCCTTCACCGAGCCGAGCCGCTGCCAGGCAGGCCCCCGGACACCGCCGCGTCTCACCCCTTTTTACAGCGGGGGAAACTGAGGCCCACGCACAGGAAGGACTTGCCCGCGGCCGTCGGCGTAGACCGAGGACGCTCCCGTCGCAGGGCACGAGGACTTTCCAAACGGGACGCGAACGCCGGGAGTTTTAGGGGGTCAGCAAACTTTGTAAAGAGCCGAGTGTTTCGGTCTTCGGTCTTCGCCGGCCACACGGTCTCGTCACAGTTTCTTAAACTCCAGGGTTGTGGCTCAAAGGGGGCCAATACATCAAGGAATGAGTGGCTGTGTTCTAAGGAAACACTATTTTTGGACACCGAGATTTGAATTTTATAAAACTCACGTGTTACTAAATATCGTTTTTCTTTGGATTTGCGCCACTACCCTCCGCCCCAAGCGTTTACAAATGTGAAAACCCTTCCTGCCCCGGCGGGGTGGCCCCGTTGACGGCAGTGTGGTCCCGCGCACCAAAAAGCTGCGCTCTCGCCGGGTCAAGGCAGGTCCCTAAGTTGGGGGTTCCGTCCCGGGTGGGGGCTCCTGGGGCCGCGGAGACACCTGTCGGCGTTTCCCTGTCACAGCGGGGCTCGTCTCCCCCTCCCTCCCCGTCTCTCTAAAATCAATAAACATATGCTTGGGTGAGGATTTTAAAAATAACAATGGGAAAGAAAATTAAAATGTAAAAACCATTCTTAGTGAGTGGAAACAAGCCAGGGGTCGACTTAGGGCAGCTGACCTCTGTTTTAGGGGATTTTTAAGGGATTTGTTTTTCCAGATTTTGAACTTCCTAAAATTTTTGATCTGTCAGAGAACTGGTCTGCAAGCTTACCTCCAATCTCAGATTTGCTTCCATATTTGTTTAAAAAAGAAAGAAAGAGAGAGAGAGAGAGAGAAATGAAGGAAGGAAAGAAAAGAAAAGAAAAGAAAAGAAAAGAAAAGAAAAGAAAAGAAAAGAATAAAGAAAGAGCGAGCCCGGTTGGTTCAGCTTAGTGGATTGCCCCCGGCCTGCAAGCTGAAAGGTTGCTGGTTCAATTCCCGGTCAGGGCACATGCCTGGGTTTCGGACCAGGTCCCCAGGTGGGGCTGTGCAATTGATGCTTTACAAAAAGACAAAGTTGTGTGCCAGCCTTATCCCTGCCTCCTTCTAAGAGTGCGGGTAGGTGGGGTGGATGGTAGATCCTTCCAAGTACAGGCACTATTGGAAGTACGAGTGGAAAGCATCCTATTATAACCAAAGTTCTAAAGCTGCCTAACCTTATCTTTCCTTTATTTTATATAATACAAAGATACGAAGGTATGATATATAGTTATATACACACATGTATTATACAGGGTCTGGCACAAATAACGCCCCTTTTTAATATAAAATCTTTTATTACCAAGTCAGAAGCATGTAACTGTAACATAACAATATCACACTCAAGCATACCATGTGACATTTTTAGGTAAGATGTTCAAATTAAAATAAATCATTACACCCATATATTATTCTACCAACCACACTCAGGCAGGCATTACTTCTGCAGGACCCGGTATATGTCCGTGTGTGTGTGTGTGTGTGTGTGTGTGTGTGTGTGTGTATCTTTCTAAGGCTGAAGCATGGACTCGGAACCAGGATATTTTGGCCTCCGTGGGCATATTGTGAATTCATACACTTTGTGAAGAGTTGGGAGTGACTTCCCCCCTTCCGTCCATCCCCTAATTGTTACCAAAGGATGAAAATCGTTTGAGGCAGAGAGCCCTGACAGAAAAGCAAACTTCAAATGCTGCTCAGGTTTTCCCCCACGGATTTAAAAGGTAAGCAGGGGTTTTTTGTTTGTTTGTTTTGTTTTGTTTTTTTCAGCCAGTCTTAACACCCTTCCTGAGGATTTGGAAATAAACTGAGAAAATGAGAGCATATCCTGCCAGAATAAGAAATCCTTGTGCAAGTCAGATGGGTTTTGCAGTGTTCGCTGTCCACAGAATTGAGGGAGGGCCTAAGCTAATTGTCAGTAGAAAGACCATTAAATAACTTTTGATGACAGATCACTGCGCAGCTTTGGCTATCTCTGGTCGCTTTGCCACAATAAAACTGTAACAGTGGAAAGTTGTAATGGTGGGAAACTGTAAGTCACACTGCCATTGTTTTGACATCGTTTCTGTAAGTACAGATAACAGCATGTTTGAGTAAGAATCCTCGAAACTAACCTCAAAATATACAGAGCCTGACCTTCAGGCATCCCAGCTCCAGGAAATTTGCTGACCTTCAACCGCGGCACCGGGATGACGTGAAGCCAGGATGACTAAGCCAGGATGATGCACACGGGACCATCGCTTGTCTTATGGGAATGGACCGTGTTCGTCTGCACGTACAGAACTTTTCAATCGCCTCCCTTGATCTCTTCTTCCTTACGAAAACCATCTGCCTCCACTGAGAGTTGGAGATGGGCAGTGAGAGGTGGGTCCCCCATCTTCCCAGGAGATGGGCTTTGTGACACGAGTCTCCCATCTTCCACGTGACCAGCACCCGAAAATAAACCACTTTCCTTTCCATCAGCAGCTGCCTCTTGAGTATTGGTTTTCGGAGTGGCGGGCAGCCGGACCTGCTTTCGGTTACAAAATGCCTTTCGTTCCCAACTTCTTTAAGCGAAGAGGGTTTCTCAGCACTTAGAGCCAGTGCTGTGCTGGTAAATATTTATTTAACAATAGGTGGTGTGTATGAGGGGGGTGAGAGGGTCAGGAACTACTTATTTATGCCATTTGCCACTTTCTGTGGTGTAAATACTCCCATCCTGGCTGATTTCAATGCGATGTTACTGAACTTGGAGTTGGTTGGGGATGAGCAGTATTTTATTTCTAATCCTCACCCAAGGACATGCTTCTTGATTTTTTTTTTTTAAAGAGAAAGAGAAACATCAGTCAGTTGCCTTTCACACATGCCCTGACTGGAGATTGAACCCCAAACCCAGGTATGTGTGCTGATGAGGAATGTAACCCATAACCTATGGAACCAACCAACTGAGCTACCGGCTAGGGCGAGATAAGCAGTATCTGTCCCACACAGACACAAAAGATGCAAATAATATCAAGAGCATAGATAACAGGAAAATGTAGGGAAATAAGTAGGACAGGATGCGTTTTGAGTACTTATTTTCTTTGTTTTCTATATGGTTTATTTAATTCTAAGTTAACTTTTAGTAACAGTTATGTTTAACTACCACCCACAAAATGCTCAACACTTGCACCGGTACAAGCCGGTTTCAGCGCACCATGGCGATTAGGGATAAAATTGCTGCTAAAACAATCTCCTTCTAGCATGAACGATGTTCACCCAGCGATACGTGAACTAGTGGGGGAGGGAAATTACCCAGTTTTACTTTTTCTTCTCAATAATTATTCATCGAAGTTTGTAGGACTAGTTTCACAAGCATATTCATATGTCACTTTGCACACTTTAAAGATGTGTAGTTTATTTCATGTCAGTTGTGTCTCAATAAAGACTTTACAGATTTTGGTAGGACATTGAAAATTGGGATGTGTTTCCATTGTTTTGATCAATTGCATTTTCATGATAACTGTAATGAGAAAAAATTAATACCTAGTCTTATGGTTCTCGAAGGTAAAACAATGATCCAATATTCATATATATTTTTAGGCAGAGAAATGCGATAGCTATCAATAAGCCACGTAAGCATAAAAAATACATATGGTAAACTTTTGCGGGGGAATAAGGAGTGAGAATTTTCAGTTCCAGTAGAAAAAGGAATGACATAAGATTTCTGACGGCTAGAGAAGAGCCTGTTCATGTATTTTTAAAATGGATGGTTGTAAGTGTCAAATTGCCTGGGTATTTAATTAAGTGGCTACATTGAAAAGAATAATGTAACTTTATTTTTCAGTGTATGACTTTACAATGTGTCAGAAGTTACAACAGTGTAACTATGTAAACTTTTGCTGAAGAAGGTTAGCTGTGGACTGAAAAGTGTGCCAGGAAGTACATCGTTTTCAATAATCATTTAGAGAGTCCACTAGCAAAACAGCTCAAAGACTGCTAGTCGAGAAAGTGAGTGGAAGCTCTTCTATAAAACTATGCCAACCCCCTGAAATTAGGAAATGAACTTGCCTTTCTCCAAGGTCTGAGAATCTGTCTGGTGTGCAGTGTGTTTGAATACAGTTATCTGTGGATCTGTGGGGTTTGAAGCTGTACTTTTCGGATCAAGGACAAAGAATACATGGATGGTCATACTTCTGTAGTGTATGTCTCTATGTACATTTTTCTGGGGCAAGAAACTTCCAATTCTCTCTTTAGATCCCAAAGAAGTTACGACCCCCAAAGAATTGAAAACAATGTGACCAGACCCTGAGGCCCTTTAAAAAGTTCTAATGGGCTCTTCTCTGGCACCCAGTAAACAAAATGCAGTAGGCAACCTTTTGTAGAACTGAACTGAAGTCCCAGTTCCCTACCTGAGACTGAAGAAAAGAAAAGAAAAAAAAAAAAAAGAAAGAAAGAGAGAGAGAGAGAACAAAAAGCTAACCAAGCAAACAAACAAAACCCACACAACTTTTAGGGGTAAGAAGTTCTTGATTAGTCCTGGCCAAGTAGCTCAGTTGGTTAGAGCGTCATCTTGAAATGTTAAGGTTTCGGGTTCAATCCCCAGTCAGGGCACGTACAGGAATCAACCAGTGAATGCATAAATAAGTGGAACAACAAATCTCTCTCTCTCTCTCTCTAATCAATTTAAAAATTTTTTAAAGGAGTTCTTGATTAAAATCCTGGTTCCAGCACTTGCCAGGTAAG